CAGATATTATGTGGACTTCTCTTCCTGGCTGGTGCTCTGGGCTGGGGAGCCTGGAGCAGGATGGAGATTCCATGCTCCTCAGGAGGGATTCTGGCAGCTGAGATATCTGTCCATGTTCTCAACCACCACACTTGGGTTTGAGGCCAGTCCTTTTCCTGTCTCTTCCCTTCCTACAAGTAACGATGTGTCTTCTTCTGTAAAACCTTGGTTATAAAACTTTTGTTTAGGCCCTAGCCAGATAGCTCAGTTGCTTAGAGTGCCGTCCTGATATGCCAAGGATATGGGTTTGATCCCCAGTCAGGGCACATACAAGAAAAAACCAATTATACATAAATATGTGAGACAACAAATCAATCTCTCTCTCTCTCTCTCTCTCTCTCTCTCTCTCTCTCTCTCTCTCTTTCTCTCCCCCTCCCTCCCTCCCTCCCTTCTTTTTTCTTTCTAAAATAAAAAATAATTAGTGTAGTTATTGCCATTTTATTCATTGTTTTCTGATTATTTTATTTCTTCTCTGTTCCTTTCTTATTCAGTTACTCTTCAGTTGGTTATTCAGGTTGATTGTTCTATAATTTATTTATAATTCCAATTTGGACCTGGGAGGAGGTGGGTGTAACTTCTACCTACTCCACTGCCATCTTTTTTATTTATTTTTTTTTTTTATTTATTTTTTTTTTCGCTTAAAGTATTACAAAGGGTATTACATAAGTGTCCTTTTTTTTCCCCCCCGCCCTTGACACACCCCTACCCTCCCTTACCCCCCAGTGTCTTATGTCCATTAGTTATGCTTATATGCATGCATACAAGTCCTTCGGTTGATCTCTTACTCCCCTCCCTCCTGCCCCCCAACTCTCTCTGGCCTTCCCACTGCAGTTTGGCAATCAGTTTGAGGCAGCTCTGCCTCTGTATCTATTATTGTTCAAAAGTTTGTAATGGTCTTTATTATCCATGAATGAGTGAGATCATGTGGTATTTTTCCTTCATTGACTGGCTTGTTTCACTTAGCATAATGGTCTCCAGTTCCAACCACTTGATGTGATTTCGGTATTCTTAAATTTAATGAGACTTGTTTTGTGGCATAATATCGGGTCTATCTGGAAAATGTTCCATGTGCTTTTTAAAAGTGTATATTCTGCTGCTTTGGGCTTAAATGTCCTAAAAATATCAAATTGTCCAATGTGTCACTTAAGGCCACTGTTTCCTTTTTATTTTCTGTCTGAATGATCTATGCATTTATGTTGAAGGGGTGTTACAGTTCTGTGAGGGAAAAAGATCCCTGCCACACAACTCAGTCTCTCCCAGAGTCTTCCCATATTATGACTGTACTACTGCTGATTTCTCCCTTTATGTTTGTTGATATTTGCTTTATATATTTAGGCGTTCCTATGTTGGATATGTAGATGTTTACAAGGGTTAAATCCTCTTATTGTAATGATACCTTTATCATTATGAAATGTCCTTCTTTGTCTGTTATTACAGCTCTTGTTTTAAAGTCTATTTTGTCTGAGATAAGTATTACTACCCTATCTTTATTTTTTCAGTTTGCACAAAATATCTTTTTCTATTCCTTTACTTTTAATCTCTGTGTGTTTTTCAGTATGAAGTGGCTCTCATAGGCAGCATATGTGCAGGTCTTATTTTTTTATCCATTCAGCTACCCTGTGTCTTTTCACGGAAGCATTTAATCCATATACATTTAAAGTAATTATTGATAGGTGTGCCATTTTATTCATTGTTTTCTGATTATTTTATTTCTTCTTTGTTCCTTTCTTATTCTCTTGCTCTCTTCTCTTGTATGTTGATGACTTTCTATAGTGTTTTGCTTGTTTTCTTTTCTCTTGTATATCTCTCTTGTGGATTTCTGATTTGTGGTTACCATGTGCCTCATATGTACCAAGCTATGTTTACAGCAGTCTATTGTAAGTTGATGGTCACCTATGTAGTAGGTGTCCTGTGAGGCCCAGTGGCACAATTTTCCTGTGCACCTGAGCTAGGTGCTCCAGGAGTGTCCCTTGTGGGGTCTCTTGTTGTAGTTGAACTTTGATTCCTGTTGGCACATCAGTCAGTGGTATTGACCCTCAGGTGGACTGGCTGTGAAGGGACAGCTTGTCCATTGGACAAACTGTCGTACAGGAGCTGACCCCACAGATTGGGAGTTGCTTTAGCAGGGCTCTAGTGCCAGCTGAATCGGCCCTTTGAGTGTGTTTGTGGAGCTGGTGGAGGGGTGCTCTGCTGTGTTCTGCAGCTAGCCACTAGGTATATTGCTCTGGAGTCTCTTGGGAGAGGCTCCAGTGCAGGCCTACATTAGCCACCATTTGTGGCCGGTTTAGGGCCACCTGGTGGAGCTACAAAGTTATCTGCAGTTGATTGCTTCTTGTGTTGGACTTGGAGGCACTTGGGAGTGGCTATGCTGTGAACCAAGGCCAGCTGACACTATTGTTTGGATTGGGACCCTTTGGTAGACACCACAATATGAGCTGAGGCCAGCTGCCACTTACTTGAAGTTATGTTCCAGGCCTACGTTGGCCATAGCTTATGCCAGGCTTGGGGCTGCTTAGGAAGAGGTACAGGGCACACTGAGACCAGCTGCTTCTTGTTTGGGGTTTGTGAATCTTTGACAGATTTTAAGAAAGTCTTTAGTGTGAGCCAAGGTAGGCTGCTCCTCTGGAAAATCTGCTGGAAGCCACTGGGACCGGGTGTGTGAATTGGGTAGGGTCCCAGGGAATCACCAGGATGGGGCAAACAGTGTTATCCAGATTACTGAAGAGCTCAGATTTGGTACCCACCTGTACCAGTTGGCTGGATTGGGAGAGGTCTCAAAGGAGCAGTGGTGCCTGCCAGCATTTCAGTCTCCATAACTCCAAAACCTGCCTCCATCCTCACCCTGAAGCTAGTCAATTCAGTTCCTCCCTGTACGTCAGTTGCTTTTTGAAATGCTGTCACTGAACTGGAGCCCAGAGTGAGTTTATGAACAAGTTGAGTCTGTGCTCTGGCTCTTTAGGAGGACACTTGGGTCTACAGCAGCCCTCCATCTCACCTGGATCCAATTCCTGCTGCTTTTCACAGACACATGTTGTGGGGAAACCTCTTCCCAGCACTGGTGCCTGGGAGTAGGGAGCCTGGGGCCACTCACTCCTCAGAGAGGACCTCTGCAGCCGATGTCCCTCTCGATTCCTAATCGCCACGAGTGGGTGTGGGACCTGCCTGTTCTGCATTTCCACCCCTTTTACCAATCTCTTTGTGGCTTCTTCTATATATGTTTAGTTATAGGACTTCTATTCAGCTAGTCTTCAGGTGGTTCTTCATGTAGGTTCTGAATTTTGTTTTAATTTTGATGTGGTTGTGGGAGGAGGCAAACACAGCATTTCCATCATCTATCTTGACTGGAAGCCCTCTGAGATGTCTTCTTTACCATTGGGAGAAACTGACCAATTGACTAGGAATTCTGATTAGATTATTCTCATATCTGTTATTCACTGAATTGTTCAAAAATGCTTTACATGGAAATACAGTTGCTAACCCCCCCTTTCCCAAAAGTCCTGCTCGAATTTTTATTGGTATTGCAATGATTCTGTTAATTCCTGAAGTACTGACATCTTTATGGTGTCAAGCTTCGAATCCACAACTACCTACGTCTCTCTATTATTTCAGGTCTGTAATTTATTTTTCAGCAAAAATTTTCATTGTAGAGATCTTGCATATTTTTCATTAGATTCCTCCCTAGGTGTTCGATGTTGTTTGATTCTGTTGCAACTGGCATCATGTGAGACCTTTGAAGGCACACTCAGTATCACCTGTCCGTGTCTAACACTCTGCCCACCATGGGCATGAGAAGCAAAGTAATACTCAACCTTTCCTTTTCCAGGGAGCCAGTGCACCTTGCCTACCCCAGCAAAGTGAAAGGGTATAATAGCTTCACTGCAGGAAATTTCAGAATCCAAACATTGCAGCCAAGAAAGTGTGCTTTCTTCTAACCTACATCTCTCCGGTTGGCATTTCAGCTTATTGTCCTCTAGTTTGGTTCACAGTGTGCCTTCCACAAAGATTTCATATCTATCAGTCTGCTATTTGAATCATCATTCAGCTAGTTCTGCCACATTGTAAAACTATGTGTAGCTCTTATTAAGAGGGAATTTGCTCATGATATAGTATTAAGTTTAAAAACACAATAAAAATCTAATTTTATTTTTTAAATGTATGGCTTAGATAAACAGGTTAAAAGAAAATGTATGACAGTGGTTATCTTTGGGTGCTTAGCTTCTGGACTATTTTGATACATGTCTGCATTTCCAAAATGTTAATGTTAAACGTGCATTTTCTTTGTACTGAGCAAAAAAAATTATACACACACACACACACACACACACACACACTAGTGTATATATATGTCAGCATCTGTTTTATTAATCCTTACCTGAGGATATTTTTTCCATTGAATTTTTAGAGGGAGGGAGAGCGAGAGAAACATTGATTGTTTGCCTCCAGCATGTGCCCTGACTGAGGCACTGACCCTGTGAAACCCGGTACGTGCCCTGGACGGAGATTCGAACCTGGGACCCTTTGATGCACAGGCCGATGCTCTAACCACTGAGAATACCAGCCAAGGCAAACCAACAGCATTTTTGAATGGGAAAAAAAATTAAACTATGTATTAAAATTACTGGCTTGAATTTTACTTTCCCCTTCATTATACAAAGTCTATTAAACATCACTAGTGAAGTTAAAACAGGTATCTGACATATCTTAAGATAATCAAGAAAGTGAAACTTCTTTTCCAGACGTGTAAATTTTCCTGCCAGTGCCTCTGGTCAGCTGTAAAGTCCACTACTTGCTGAGAATTCTCTCCTCACACTTGGAACCTTGCAACACCTGTTTTATTTCACACTTTCTTGATTCCTGGGGCAAATCCCAGGTCCACAGTGTAGGCTCCAGTTAAATTTCTTAGTGGTCCAGATGTGTGTCCCCCGCTGAGCTGGCCTAGTAACCCCACTGTTTATTGACAGGTTCTCAGGAATCGGATAGCTCTCAGTCCGCCAAGAAAGACATGCTGGCTGCCTTGAAGTCCCGGCAGGAAGCGCTGGAGGAAACGCTGCGCCAGCGGCTGGAGGAGCTCAAGAAACTCTGCCTCCGAGAAGCCGTAAGCAGTTACTATTGCTGCCTGGGGAAGTCTGTATTGTCTGAGCCCTCATCCCCTTCACAGACTTACACAGGGGAGTGGGTCACAAAGAGATCATAGGAGGCAAACAAGAGCTTCTGACACACAAACGTTGGAAATAGCCAACCCCTGTCATGTGCCCCATCAGAAACAGAAGTGGTGACGTTCCTGGGACACCAGGGTACCAGTGCAAGCTGAGTCTCAAGTGGGACCTCACTAGAGACCAGTCATGGTAGCACCTGTAAATAATAATGTTTTGCACAGTGCCCCTTAGTTTATAAAGCATTTTCTCATATGTTATTACCTCCTTGACTGGAGTGGTTTGCCACCATTTTCTAAGACTTTGTGCCTGAGTTGACTGTTGTGGCTTTTGTTCCCTTGAGGCTGTTTCAGATACTATATCTTTGGAAATCATGCTGAAAAGCATCACCGGGAAGCAATAAAGAAACAGGATTTCATTTGATATATAATTCCCTTTAAAACTCATCTGATGTGACACTCTTTTTTTAAAAAATATGAAGTCTTAGCCTAGTGATATCTTTAAGTTTTATGCATAGCAACATTCCTCAAGCTCCTGTCTGCACTGGTCTCAGGTTTCATTGGGACTCAGAGGCTGTGACAGGCCACTGTTGTATTTATTTGAATGTCCGCTTCCACCTTCTTTTGTATATTCTGCAGTTCTCTGTTAGCATGTTTGATGAATTGAACTTTTAATGCCATACACCTTACTGTGCATGTGTGTGTGCATGGACATGCGTGTGCATGTGCTTGCACCTGCACAGGATAGTGCGGGAGCCCTCCAGGGAGCCATTGTAGTTCATATAATGTTACACAGAGTGATACTGGTGAACAGTTGAGAATCGGAAGTATAAAGAGGCTCCCAGACTGTATTCCCCTGCCCTCAGTAATAGTGCCTTGCCCCAGGCCAAATGAACCAGGGGCTTAGAATGAAATCACATTACATTTCCACTTGGCTTAATTAGGTACTGGATTGATTGAAACCGGAGCCAACTCAAACCAGACCCACATTAGCACAAACCCACTGCAAATCTTAGGAAAGCACATGCCCGGAGGGAGGGAGGGAGGGGTCCCCAGCAAGCTTTTCCTTGATGTCCCAAGACTCCCAGGGAAAGGTGTGGCTCTTTGGTGATGACCAGCATGTCCTCCTCTGGTTTGCAGCAGCCACCAGCATTTGTATAAAGAATATGCTTAAAAATTTAAAAAGTATGGCTTTGGGTGTCTGCATTTAATAATTTGTAAAGACTTGTTTTGTTTTTAATAGAGACAATGTCCCTAAACCCAGCAGGGAGTCAGCATCAGAAAATTGGAGAAACATGTCAGGGCAGAGTTAGCATGTGTTAAAGAAGGTCTCACCGTGTCTCTTAAAACTAAAAGCAATTATCAGGAAAACAAAGCTTTCACTTCTTACAATGTTGACAGCAGAAAACAGCTTGAGCAGAAGGGATACCCTCTCTGGCCCCGGGCAGATTGCTTTGTGACATCTCCCGTTCTGGTCTCTGGACGCCTCTGTAATCTTGGGCAAAAGAGCCTCTGTCTGTGCCACACACCGTGTCCCTCCGCTCAGGATGTCGGGGAGCAGTTTGTCCCCTGGGGAGCTAGCGGGGCAGCCAGAATGGGGTGGAGCAGACACATTTGGCGGAAATACCAATACGAGAATTTAAGAGGAACCAAGCCAAGCCCCACAACAGTGTGTGAAATCCTCCTTCCTCATGTGGCTCTGGCTACATGTGAAATCGGATTAAATGTGGAGAATCGAGGCCTTGAGTCAAAGACCGTCAAGCAGATGGTGGAAAATCAGTAGTCTCGTTTTTTAAAACATAGTATTTTGTTTTAAAACCACAGATACTTTAGACTTGCCATGTTAACCACTTTCCCCTCCTTTTATAAGTTTCAGGTGAAAAAAGAAAGTCCTAACAATATAGAATTCTCAGTGTGCATGTTGTTTATAAACCGACTTTGAGAGAATCAGATAAACATGTCACAGAATAAACACATAGGACTTTGGCAACATTTGAACCACAATAAAAAAGGAAAGAAACAGAAAGGAAGATTGCAGAGCCTTCCATGCTCAGACAATTTGCCTTTGTCCTCTAGAATGCTTACACGGGACAAAAAGGCCTACGGCTCATTCTCAGGTGCAGAGCATGGAAGGGGCACTGCCCAGGAGAGAGGGGAGCGGGGTGCTGGTGCACTCCAGGTGCATTCACATGCACGCACCATTGCACATGCCCATACGCACACCCCACTGCACACACCACACCCCAGTGAGCGCGCACACACACACACACACACACACACACACACACACACACACACACACAGAACGGTGGGAGGAGAAGCCAGACCACTCCTCCTCTTAGAACAGCGGTTCTCAACCTGTGGGTCGCGACCCCTTTGGAGGTCGAACGACCCTTTCACAGGGGTCGCCTAAGACCATCGGAAAACACATATATAATTACATATTGTTTTTGTGATTAATCACTATGCTTTAATTATGTTCAATTTGTAACAATGAAATTGGGGTCACCACAACATGAGGAACTGTATTAAAGGGTCACGGCATTAGGAAGGTTGAGAACTACTGTCTTAGAAGGTAGATTAGCATCTGGAATCTGCTGGTCCAGGCTTCCCGCCTGTGGGACACTAGCACTGGGCCACCTGACACAATAGCTTTTCGTGACGATGCTGAACTGTGAGCTCTTCCTTGAGTCTGTGCAGCACAGGTATTGATTTGGGGCTAGAAACCAGGGCTGGGCTTTGCCACCTGTGCCATTGGCAGCTCACAGTGGCTCTCCCAGGACTTTCTTTCCCTGGAAGGGACTCCTCACAACTGATACCTTGGCTCCACCACATGGATTAGCTGCTGATTCAGATTTGATCTTTATTTAGCCCAGACATAGCCCCTCATATGGAGCCCAATTCTAATCTGGACTCATTCCACTGACCTAGTGTTTGCAGGGTCATTGTCACTATGGCCATGTGTCAACTAAGCTCACTGTCATTGTACTCACAACAATTAGATTTTCAGGCCCCAAAATATACACTCAACAGATCTGTTTTAATAGATGTGCCAAAATTATGGGTTTATTTTCAGTTTGTACTGAAACTCTTATTTGTGTACATTTAATGTCTTTTAAGCTCAGCCTGTTCCCTGAGTGTTGGCCTGAGTGGAATAATTCTTGTATTTAGTTTCTAACTTGTCATATGCATTTTTCTGGGATTTTCCATATAGACACCACTCTTCCTAAGAAAGACTATGTGGAAGACACTTTAATATCAGCTATCAGTGAGGGAGGATGGGGTGCAGGGGCACCGCACGGGAGCCAGAAAGATCAGAGATGTGTGTGGCCCCTCCTGGCACACAGTGGGCATGCAGGAAACACTTGGAAAACTAACAAATGAATGAAATGCAAGGTTTATGATGAAATCTAAAGCAACTTTGTTTATGTGACAGTTACTTTCAGAAGAACTTTTCAAAGTGCATCTGTTCTGTAAAAAAGGATTGCTCTCATCCATTTTTAGAGAAATGAAATCACATTTCAAAAACTCTTATTAACGCTTATTTAGGCATTTTGCTTAAAGGTACTATTTTGAATGTGTGCATTGAAGAGTGTGGGGTGTGTGTGTGTGTGTGTGTGTGTGTGTGTGTGTCGTGGAAATAAGCATCTGCCCCCTGATTCCACCTCTCCTCCTGCTGTTGCACATTTGCAGGAGCTGACGGGTAAACTGCCTGTTGAATATCCTCTGGACCCAGGGGAGGAACCACCCATTGTTCGAAGAAGAATCGGGACGGCCTTCAAGCTGGACGAACAGAAAATTCTACCCAAGGGAGAGGTGCGCCCTTCTTCCTGGTGTTGGGTTCTCTCACATCACCCTCGTTTTCTGTTTGCTGGGGCTCCCAGGTTTTCTGTAACAGCTGCAGCATTCCGCACAGTGCCAGCTGCCCTGTCCCCTTCCTGCTCAGTATTTCCCTTCACCTCTGGTTACATTCGCAGGTTGGTCAGTATGTGGCTCCCAGGGTAGGACAGGCTAGTTGAGTGTTCCTAAGCATTTTGCTTTTAGTGTGCGTTGTTTATCTGACAGGATAGGCCTGTCGAAAGCTGTGAGGTTAATCTTGGGAGGACATTCTAATAATGCCCATTGCGTGTCTTTTTAATGGCCTCCCATCCCTGGTTACTAAGAGCCCTAGCCCACTGGTTAGCATGTGGGTAAAGTCACCAGAACACGGTGTCCTAGAGCGGGTAGAAGGGGGGGCCAGTCTGCTGAGATCTGCACCAGGAGGTCCTGGGGGCGGGGGGTGGGTGAATTGGGGGCGGGGCTGCACCAAATGCTTCACCCAAATCTGAATCTTCACCTGGCAGTTTCCTGTTCAGAACAGTGAGGTGCATTGCAGAGTCCTTATTTCTTTGGGCCAGATCCAGGGTTAAGTGAGCTACTATATGGAGGAAGTTTAACTTGGGTCTTCACACCGGCTTGATGAGCAATAAACATGAGTAGCTTGAGGTGGAGAAGGGGACGTTATAGGACAGGTGCAGCCTGTGGAAGAGGCAGAATTATATTGGGTCAGAACTGAGGCTAGAGCAGGTGGGATTTAGAAGACCATCTGGTCAAGTATATCTCAAATCTGCTGTCATCAGAATTACCTGGGGAACTTCCTCTCCCCTGTGCTGGGCAGATACCAGGAACTCAACTTTTATGAGAAGACCTCACCTTAGTGAGTGCCCCCCCCCACAGCCCCATTGTCCTTCCCACAGTCCCATCTCACCGCACCTTCTCACCAGCTGCTTCTTCACACTTGTCAGCAAAATATGCCTTTAGTTCCTGGAGAATTCCATGTGCATCCCCGTCTTCCTCACCTGTCCCTGCATATTTTGGTCGGAAATCCCTCAAAGGAAGGAACGCAGAATTAGCTGGCAGGCTGCAGAGTTGCTCTCTGAAGAACAAACTCCCTTTTCTCTTGGAAACGTACTTGCACCCTCCCCCTCCCACCCCCCCCCCACAGCAGGCGGCCATCTGTACAGACTGGGCTGCCAGCATGTGCTGGGCTCAGTTTAAGTAGTGAGACTCTCCTGGGTGTACACAAAGCCATGGAGCAGTGTTTGAACCAGGGCTGTCAGCACAGCTGGCTGGTGGAGTTCCACTCACAGCTCACTCCATCTTTGTCCCTGCTGACTCATTTCCAGGCTCCAGCACAGAGGGCTCAAAATCTGAGAGACAGAGGGGTGGGGGGGAGGTGGGGGAGAGGGGCACAGTGGAGCTCCCATCAGCAGGCCCGCAGAGCAGGACAGAAAGCTGCTCTGAAAATAGTGTTGCATCCTGTGCCCATTCAAACCGAATGGGTCTGAATTTCCATGAAGGCTTGGTTTTCCTGAACCATGTGGAGACCATGGAATGAAGCCTGGGGGCCCTCAGCATTGGGACTCCTTGCTTCTCAGTGATGCTCCCATGTGCAGACAACCTTGTCTCCAGAGTGGAACAAGGGCCACGGTCTCAAAAGTGTGTGTGCCCAGGGCACCAGCTGCCAGAGGTTTTAGGAGCAGGATCACTGCATTAGGCAGTGGGACTGCTGGGTGCCTAGTGCCGTGGTCCCCAGGAGTAAGGAAGGCTGGCTCGCCTTGTGGGGCGGGGGCGGAAAGGACAGAGGTGAAACCCTGGCTCTCCCTCCCACAGGAAGCCGAGCTGGAACGCCTGGAACGAGAGTTTGCCATTCAATCCCAGATTACGGAGGCTGCCCGCCGCCTCGCCAGCGACCCCAACGTCAGCAAAAAACTGAAGAAACAAAGGAAAACCTCCTATCTGAATGCCCTGAAAAAGCTGCAGGAGATTGAGAATGCCATCAACGAGAACCGCATCAAGTCTGGGAAGAAACCCACCCAGAGGGCCTCGCTCATCATTGATGGTCAGTGCTGAGCCCTCCCCACAGCAGGCTGCCCCCACTGCCCCGGGAGCGGGCTCCAGGCCTGAGAGTGGGCCAGAGCCCAGCTCCTGGCATGCCCTAAGCAATCTACTTAACCAGTGAGGGCTATTCTGTTAGGAATGCTGACATAGTGCATTTTGACATCATCTGTACTAACTGGTGACGGGACCCATCCAAGCCTACAGCCATTTCTTTTTAATCCTCACCCAGGGTATGTTTAGACAGAGGAAGGGAGAGAGAAACATCGATGTGAGAGCTAACATCAATCAGTTGCCTTCCATACACGCCCCAACTGGGGATCGAACCAGCAACCTAGGTGTGTACCCTGACTGGGAATCAAACCTGCAAGCTTTTGGTGCACACAGGGACACTCCAACTCAAGAATATGTCTTCTCTATTTTGCTACCTCTTTCAAATAATGTTTTCATCATACGAGCCCATTTGAATTAGAGAAGTAATTCAGATTCTTCCTAGTTCCTTAGCCTGTTTATTTTTAAATATATATATTTTTTAATTTCAGAGAGGAAGGGAGAAGGAGAGAGAGATAGAAACATCAGTGATGAAAGAGAATCATTGATCAGCTGCCTCCTGCATGCCCCACCCGGGGGAGCAATCCCACAACTTGGACATGTGCCCTGACCGGGAATCACCATGACCTCCTGGTTCATAGGTCCACTCTTAACCACTGAGCCACACCGGCCAGGCAGCATGATTTTTTTATTTCAAAAGAAAAACACTAAACTTGGTATCCAAAGACCTGTTGCCAGGAGAGTTGAGCAATCCCAAACAAACCAGCTCCCTAGCTGTGCCTCAGTTTCCCCAGATGTTTAAGGGGGAGGATTACCTTGCTGTCTTCCTCTTTGGCATGTTCTCATGGTTAGTTGAATGGGGTCTATGAAAATAAGCTTTGTAGAGATAGAAGCTGAATTTAGCAGCTTCCCCACCACCACCACCACTAATGGCTTAAGACATTTATTGAGAAGACGTTTGTTGCCCTGTGAGCAAAGCCAAGTTCCTCACCCTAGTTTCACATTTGTACAATCAATAGCAGTTCACCTCCTTTAGGTCAGTCAGAACATGCCCTGGGACTGGGCCAAGACCATGGTATGACGTAACCCGGCCAGGCAGCCTGTTGGATATAAAGCCACTCAGCATGGCAGTGCCCTGTCTAACAAGAGCACAAAGACGGGCACATTGAGTGTCGGGGGTGGGGGTGAGCTCATGAGCCGCGGCCGGGGCTGTCGTAGAAATGCCCAGCAGCATTTGGGTTGTATTCCATGGATTCTCTCTGAGTAGAAAGAGAAGGACATGCTAAACACAGGATTTTTACAGATAGGTCTTTGTCTAAAGAATGTGATAAACTCTCAGACGTTTGCCTTTGTCTTCTCAGATGGAAATATTGGCAGTGAAGACAGTTCCCTCTCCGATGCCCTTGTTCTGGAGGATGGTAGGTGGTTGGGGGGACTGGGAAGGGGCTTGGATTAAACTGGGTTAAGCTTTGTGTAGCCTGGGACAGGCCAGTGTAACGGTGAGAGCTGGGCCAGGATGGCCCCAGCTACCCTGCAATTCTCTCACTACGCGATAGTCACTGAGTTGGTTGGGAGTTGCTGGGCGCTGCGTAAACCATGTCTATTGGAATTTTAGTGTTTTCTGTGCCTGAGAGGTCAGATTTAAGGTGATAGTCAATGAGTCGTACTTTATTAATTGCCAAACCACATTTTTACCTAAACAGAGAATCTCTACACCACACATAGTCTCCTTTAGCGTATTCATAATTTCTGGAGGAAAGAGGCAGACATTGGTTTGGATCACAAATAAAAGATTGAAAACTGCTAGGAGAGCCTGGAGGAAGCAGGAAAAACAGAAATGACCCCAACCGGGACCCCCAGTCCACACCTGACATAGAATAGGAAAGAAGTCCAACCCAGAACCATCTCCGAGCACGTTCCTACGGATTCAACCCCAAACTTGTGAGGCCAGGACATTAATGAAATGGAAATATATTAAGTGGCAGTTAACTTTTTACCCCTCAGGGAAAACTCAGGTGGGCAGCGATACGTAGCTATTTAGATGGAAAGGTCTACCCAGGTCAGACTAATGCAGATAATCGCAATAATAATAATTGCTGTTAATGTGGGGAAAGGCTGGCGGGTTATTTACCCAGTCGTCTTGGCCCTGCTATTATCAATCACATTGTAATATTCTTATGATCACTTGGTTACGTGGGTGGGGAGGAAATGGGGCTGTAGGGGAGCAGGGAGCTGTGTTTTGAAGATCAGAGATCCAGCCCTGGTTTTGGCCTCTGTGGACTCCAGTCTCTCCGGGGGGAGGAAATGAAAACAATTTCATGAGATTCCTTTGTAATCGAGGAGTTGGGGGCATTATATATTGTCATTGGCTAATTCTGATGCATCATTTATGATTAGCTTCTTCCCCATGTTGCAGACCCCCAGACTACCTGGGGGTGTCACTGCCTCCCTAGTGCAGGCCTACCCCATCTAGGGGCTCTTCCCTTTACTGATCTAAGAGATGCAGGAGCAGGGGAGGCATAGCACTTGTGGCTGAGAAGTGGGCTGTGAAAAGAACACTCTTTGGAAGTGGATTTAGGATCACATGAATGGTTATTGGGGTTTGAGGTTTCTTCTGGGTATTGTTCCCCTCAAACTCCCACCTCGGCCTCCACAAGGAACACTGATTTTTTCCTGCCTCTCTGCTCAGTGCTGCCCTCCCGGGGGCTCTCACCACTGGATATCTTCCTTAACCCCTCCCCAGCCCTCCCTGGATCCTACCCTTTTGTGACCCCTGCCAGATGACTAAACGGGACTTTCATCCTAACATCCATGTTTAGTTTTCCTGTGGCTTTCAGACCTAATCCTGACGCCTGGATCTGGAATGAAAGGCCCCTGTCAGTAGGGCACCTTGCTTATCTCGGGGCCCACAGAAGGTCTGTTACACTTGCACTTGACCAGAGCTCCTCCCTGACACCCTCTGATCCTCTTCACCAGCTGCTGTGCCAGCTGCATTGGGTCCTGGCTTCTTCCTTTCATTTTCCTCTCTGCCAGGCCACTGCTGAAATCCCTTCTGGACCACAGCTCTTTGCCTGACTAATGGAATTCATTTCCTCCGAAAGTCCTATGGCCATTGATGTTAGAGTATTACTCCCCTGAAGGCAGGGCATGGTCTTTATTTATAATAGTTGTAGCCCATCTCCTTCCCAAAGAACCTAAGGCAGTTCCAAAATGAAAATATTATATGGGAACATGTTAAAAACAATATACACAGTTCTGGAAAAAGCAGAGTCGTTACCTAGAGCCACCCGTAGATCATTACTCTGAACAGATATGCTTTTATTCATTTTTTCTAACAAATGATTTATTGAGCACCTACTACATGTCAATAATCATTGTAGACACTAAGGATATAGCAGTTAATAGACTAGACAAAACCCTCATGGAGCTGAAATCCCCCAAAGCAAATGACATACGTCCTGTTTATTGAAAGAAAACATACAATGATGAGGGCATTTTGCTGTTTGGTGTGAAGCAAGCGTTAAGCCATGGGATTTAATGAAATTTGGGTTTATTCCATTTGTAGCTCATCAGAATTGAGCCTTCTCTTCCCATTTAATGCTGCTCAAAATTTAGGTTTGGTTTGTTCTGGATTGACTTGTTTGGCAACTGGGGAAGCATCATGGGCGCCTTCAAGAGTAAATGCTGGCCTGGCTCCCAGGTGTTGCTATTAGGGCAGAGGTGGGTGGGGGCCTGTCTGGGGTCAGTAGGAAGGACGACCCTTGCTCAGTTGCTCTCTCTCCATTTTTGCGCAGAAGACTCTCAGGTCTCCAGCACACTGTCCCCCTTACAGTCTCCTCACAAGGGACTTCCTCCTCGGCCACCATCATCACATAACAGGCCCCCTCCTCCCCAGTCCCTGGAGGGACTCAGGCAGATGCACTATCACCGCAACGACTATGACAAGTCACCCTTAAAGCCCAAAATGTGGAGTGAGTCCTCGCTAGATGAGCCGTATGAGAAGGTCAAGAAACGTTCCTCCCACAGTCATTCCAGGTGAGCTGGGTGGGGAAGGCCTCAAGAGGCACGGCCAACAGCTATTGAAAGCATCGGTGGGCTGTCCCAAATGGCATCCACAAATTACAAAATCCAAAGCAACCTAACTCCTTCCAGGGGTTGACTTTCAACAGGGATGCTGACCTGTCCAGGTGCAGGTTTGTCATTCCAAGGGAAAGTGGAGGTTTTGGCTCACAGCCAACGTGTTGGCAGATGGCTTTAATGTTGTTAAATTCCACGGAAATTAATTAGGAAGTCTTGGGCAGTACTATTCCAAAATGGCAAGTGACAGCCTTCTCGTAGGAATCCCCAAGTGGTTCAGAACCCTAAGCCATCAGCAAACAGAATTCTGGAGCCAAACACTGTACTCTTATCTGTGCATTATCAGCTCATTATCAGCTCATTACGGGGCTGATCTTGGAGAGAGGGTTTTGGATAGGCATTTTTGGTCGACTTCTCTGGTTTTCTCATTTCCTTTCATTACACCATTTAAGCTCCAAGTGTTTGTTCAGACAAGTAAATATTTGTTGGAAAATAGAAGCTGCAGTTCAGGACAGTGGCTTTACATGCTCCCTGTCCCAGTGAAGGCTGACCAGGACCCAGGGTCCAGGGATAAGGATTCTCAGGGAAAGGCTTGGAGATCGGAGGGAGTGGGGGTGGGAATCCTGAGTAAGCCCACCCAACACCAAGGTTGATGTCTGGAGGCTAGTCAGCTCCTGGGCACAGGTGCGGCACCGTGACGGTGACCAGCACGGCTTCTCTGGTTTGCAGCAGCCACAAGCCCAGCACAGGGAGCTGTTGCTGAAGCAGGAGGGGGGAAGCAGCTCCTCCAGAACAGCCCCATCCGCAGCCTCCCGCACTGGAACTCACAGTCCAGCATGCCGTCCACACCAGACCTGCGTGTACGGAGTCCCCACTACGTTCATCCACGAGGTGAGTCCACCCGGCCCTCGGGCCACTTCCTTTGTAAATTGGACATCTCTGGCTCCAGCCGGCCCAGATAATGGGTGATCTAGAGTCAGGCCTGAACTAGGGAGGTCGTTTCTCCTTAAAATGAAGCAGGATTTAAAACTGAACTGGCAGCAGTCTGCCCACGTTTGCAGAGACCCATCATATCCCACTGCCCATGCCTAGTGGGACCGGGAGGCAGCTGGAGAATTGCAGGCAGACAGTGCGCATGGAAGGAGCCTAAGCAAGATACAGGCAGGAAAGACCGGCAGGTTAGCAGGGAAGCATGCTGGAGCCACACCACCTTGCCCTGATGAGGTGATTTTTACTGGAGAGTCCTCCTGTTGCTTTCTACTGGGGCCTAATTTATCCCGGACTTTTTAATGCCTCAAGGTATAAATTCATTAGAGAACAAAAGGAATGGGCAAAAGGGAGGCTCCAATGAATCAGGCCTTCATTTTCTAAAAGGAAGCAAAACCAAAGCCACCATTCCATTTTATCAAAAACTGAGTCTGTAGGGATCATACCTCAAAGGACAGAAGGTGTGAGCGCCCATAAATGGTAAACCATTTTACAGCAGGTAGAGCACTCCAAGCAAGATTTTCTCCTTCATTTTATTCATGCCTTTATTTGCTCATGCACCACAAATTTATAAAGTGCCTCTGTGTAGCAGGTATGATTCTAGGGGACAGAGCAGTGAAAAAAGCAGACCACACCATTGCTCTCGTCAGACTTACATTTCAGTTGGGTGTCATAATAAATATCTGTCAAGTGGTGATAGCACCAAGAGGAAAAATAAGCCAAGCAAGGGGCTAGAGAGTGAACTAGAAGCATGGAGAAGCTCTCTCTCATAAGGTGAACTTTGAGCAGAGACCTGAATGGATGGGGGAGGGGGGAGCAAGCTCTGAGGATACCATAGAGAACAGCAGGTTAAAGCCCTGTACACAGGGCTGAACTCCACATGTTCCCAGGAGGCCAGTATGGCTGGAAGAGAGTGACGGAGTGGTGTGGGACGAGGGGGCGACATGATGGGGACTTCTCATTCTCCCCTGGGTGACAGAACTGAACTCATATCTTCCAATAATTGGCCAACAGGGCCACCCTGAACTTCTCATGTGGCCCTAGCATTGTCTGCAATATTGATGGATATTTGTAGGCTGGATTTCGATAAGCAGAATGCGTTATAAACAGAATGGTGGCATGGTAAGTTTTTGCATCAGTCATTTTTCATGTTCCACCAAACTTGCCTTTCAGAGTCTTCATGGAAATGGAAATCTGTGTATGTGAGTTTCATTAAAATATTTGGTTGAACCGTATGAAATGTCTCCATAGGGCCTGTTTTGACCTGCAAAAATGGGCATTTCATTTGGTTTAACATAATACTAGAATAGGCATTTTCTTTGGTTCTCTTTGTATCTATAGAATTCCTTTCCATTTAAAAAAAAAAAAAAAAAGCCCTGGCTGCTGGCACACTTTTTTCAGAGGGAACCCTTATGTGGGCGCTGTCTTCAGTCTTACCTCCCACTGGGAATCAAAATCCCAGCAGAGGCCAGACTTGGCTCCTGGGGTCAGCCTTGCTCTCCCGCCTCCTTTTCACCTGAGAACCATGGCAAGCACCTGGATTCCCAGGGCAGCACAGCTCAGTTTCCCAGCTGCTGGAGCCTCTCTCCTGAGTCCCAGGTTGCAGAGCCCCCAACCCTCCACTGGGCCCACAGACCCACCACCCATCGTCTCCCTGCAGGTCCGTGGACCTCAGCCCCACGCGCCTGCACAGCCTCGCCCTGCACTTTCGGCACCGCAGCTCCAGCCTGGAGTCCCAGGGCAAGCTCCTGGGCTCTGAGAATGACACAGGGAGCCCCGACTTCTATACCCCGCGGACTCGTAGCAGCAATGGCTCAGACCCCATGGACGACTGCTCATCCTGCACCAGCCACTCAAGCTCGGAGCACTACTACCCAGCGCAGATGAACGCCAACTACTCCACGCTGGCAGAGGACTCGCCCTCCAAGGCGCGTGCCAGGCAGCGGCAGAGACAGCGGGCGGCGGGCTCGCTGGGCACAGCGAACTCGGGCAGTATGCCCAACCTGGCCGCGAGGGGGGGCGGCGGGAACGCACCTGGCGTCTACCTGCACAGCCAGAGCCAACCCAGCTCGCAGTACCGCATCAAGGAGTACCCGCTGTACATTGAGGGGGGCGCCACACCCGTGGTTGTGCGCAGCCTGGAGAGCGACCAGGAGGGCCACTACAGTGTCAAGGCGCAGTTCAAGACCTCCAATTCCTACACAGCGGGCGGCCTGTTCCGGGAGAGCTGGAGGGCCAGTGAGGAGGGCGATGCCGGCCGCCTGACGCCATCGCGCTCGCAGATCCTGGGGACTCCGTCGCTGGGCCGCGAGTGCGCCCATGACAGGGGCACGGGGCGCACCGCAGTGTCCGATGAGTTGCGCCAGTGGTACCAGCGCTCCACCGCCTCGCACAAGGAGCACAGCCGCCTGTCGCACACCAGCTCCACCTCCTCTGACAGTGGCTCCCAGTACAGCACCTCCTCCCAGAGCACCTTCCTGGCACACAGCAGAGTCACCAGGATGCCCCAGATGTGCAAGGCCACGTCAGGTGAGAATGGGGACAGAATGGGGTTGGCCCTGAATGAGCAAATTGTTGACTCTTTTCAAGGGCTTCCAGAATTTCTTAGAGTCCGCAGTGAGGAATGAGAGATGGTTGATTCCAGAAACCTAGCTGTGAGATGTATGAGACTTGAGGTTTTCAATCACCCCTTTACCCCTCCCATACTGGGCCTGGTTTTGCCAAGAGTGACAGACTTCGGAGGGGGTGGGTCAGCACATCAGATCCTCCCCAGTGGATTGGGCCAACTCCTACTTCAGCTTCCTCAGTAGGCATCAAACCATCCCTCCAGCCACTTCTCCTGGTGAGGACAGAAATCAAAGAAGTTAGGTGTCTCGGGGTTTACCTAAGACACTGGTAAGGTAGAGACCTGGGTGGCACCTTGCAGAGCGTGGCTTGCTTAGGACCTTGGCTTGTGGGAGCCTTGAAACTAGGCAGGTGTGTCCCCCGGTGGGGCAGGCTGATGGAGCCTGGAGTGCGGCACCTGACTTCACTGTGACCCATGACTGGACTTCACTGTGACCACATGGATAGCTGCTCCTTGCACTCCCATTTCAATAGAGTTAGGATATAACCACAGTCATTTTTGTAAAGAGCTTTCAGAGTTTCATAATCAAATTAAGGGTTACCTTATCTTTGTACTCAGAGCAGGAGGAATTAAGTAACAAAGGGAAGAAACCATGCTTTCCCTTAAGAAGCCACACACCCTCTCTGAGAGAATCCTGGCAATCATAACAACACTTGTTCAGTACCGGTGCTGGCAGGGCTCTGGGCCTAGCATGGACCAACTCATTTCCATGCTCATGGCATTCATAAGGAGAGGGGAACTCGTGCAGTGGCAAGATGCTGCCTGTAGGAAAAGAAAGGGGGAGGATGTTGACATGTAATAAAAATGATTTTAAAAGTAGAATGAAATGAGAAACAATAGCAAATGGAAGGTACTGCAAGTATGGACTTGTGCCTAGAAAGAGGGTGAAGATTAGGGGAAAGGGGTGATTCTAAAGACAGAAAATAGGAGGTCATCTTTGAGGAGCTGAAGGAGATTCTGGGGGCCTAGAGAGAGCAGGGCAAAGAGGAAGGACCTGCCGGCTTCCCAGGTGTGCCAGGCCACAGGGCTTCTTGGTTCTGTCCTCATATCCCCGTTGGCTCATTTATTATGGTGCATCAGTCAAATGACAAGTTCCAGAGATAATAATAAAAATGCTTCAGGCAATCATGAGAGAACCATGGACTTCAAAACCCCAGAACCATCTCCATATTCCTCCACATGTAAAATAAGCCCAGTGAAGTCTACCATCGACTTCCCGGAGCACCATGAGAGTGAATGAATGGACATGCTGAGCCTGTTGCCCTATTGGAAGCAGCAGCTCCGAAGAGGGCCAGAAGGGCTCATGTTCCATCAAAGCATTAGCACTTGTCTAGTAGACGTGCTTTATTTAGAGAGATTAGGTAAAATCTTTTGGAACATGTTTTAGACTGAAATGTTAAGAAGTATATCTGATGAAAAATATTCCATCCCCAAGAAAGCAACGGATGCATTTAAGGAGGATTTACTTCTTACTAAACTTTACCAACTGGAAAAACTCTGTCCATTTCAATAAACTCCTAGTAGTCAGATTTGGATGAGCTATTAAAGGCCCAGCACCCTTTGAAGTGTCCAAAGGGGTAGATTATAAGCCTGAAATGGCAGGCAGCAAGCTCTGAGAACCTTTCTGGAAGTTCTCTGTTCAAGACAAAGGCACAGTTTTGACACTGGGCCACATCTACAAATGCCCTGAGGTGTCGCTTCCTATGTCCAGAGAAATAGGCCCTTCTGCACTAGCCCTGCCCAGGACTCGCTCAAAGGTCTGTGGGCTGTCAGGTCCTTTGCTACTGTGGAGGCTGCCGCCATCCCTGTGGCCACTTTCCAGTGGCAAAGCGGGGACCTAGGATCCCAGGTCAACTTAACTGAGGATGGAGCTGCTGCATGGTTTGGAGGAGATGAATGGTGTAGGGGGTGGATATTTGCCCACTGTGACCCTGCAAGGGTCGCATCCAGCATCTCTGGAAGGATGCTCCTTCACTTGACTGGTGTCTGACGCGTCTTTTCTGCACCACCTGCATACAGCTGCCTTACCTCAAAGCCAGAGAAGCTCGACGCCATCGAGTGAAATTGGAGCAACGCCCCCAAGCAGTCCCCACCACATCCTAACCTGGCAGACTGGGTGAGTTCCTATCAGACCTTTCATCCTCCTCTTCCAGGTTCTAGAATGATCCTCAGCCTTCTTCGTCAGGAAGAGTGTAATGAATATGAGAATCTAGTAACAGAGGGTTTATCAGGAAAATAATGACGAGTGTTCTTCATTACTAGGAACCTGCTTTCTTTCCAGGGAAGGCCCATGAACTGCTGTTCCTTTTACCCCTCTCCTTTCCATCGCTGTCTTTTAGATGGGGAATTATCTCTACTCCCTTGTAAAGCTGGCCCATGGCCCCAGGAATGTGGGGAACGTGGGTGTCACAAGTCCAACTGCACTGCTTTGGTCAGAATTCCAGACAGCATGTGACTTAAGTTCCGGTTATACCAGGACAACTTCAGAATGCCAGGCACCAAGGAGAAAGGGGAGAAGGAGACCGGTGTGAACACCCTGGGCTGCCTCTGGTCCCATGTTTTACCTGCTCCTCAGGGTGCTCACTGTCTTGGTATCAGGACGCATCTTAAGAAAAAGACAGGAGGCTCAGATCTCATCTCTGTCCTGGCCAACCACTTAATCAACACACAAAGGGCATCAGGTACCTTGAGACCTTTAAGAAGTGGCCCACAGCAAAATAACCCAAAATTCAGCTCTCCTTATAGCTTCCAGCATAGACCAACATCATAATCTCGGGGATATATAGGATGTTCTGATCTGCTGCAGAGTCTGAGGGGTACACATAGATTGCTATGTTCACAGTTCCTGCCTCTTCTGTTGCTCCTAAGACATCACCGCTAAATGGATGTTATATACTATCAATGTCTGTTGGTTAAAAAAGTAAACGGTCTCTTTATCTAGCTCTATTCAGTTTCTCATTTCCTAGAGCATCGGTGGGGGTGTCTGGGAAAAATCTGACAGCTGTCTGTGAGTTGAATCATCAGGAAACAACAGGACCAGAATCGGCTCCACTGACTACATTTCTGACTCTCATGCTTGGCAGACATTTTTGTTCCTGCAAATTTATCTGTAGTAATTTAAAACCAGGCTTTATGGGTCCTTAGCATTTAACAGAAGGTAGGAGAGCTAATGTTTATTAAGTGTTTGCTGTGTACTCAAAGGTTGGAAGCTTCTTCTAACATATATGAACTCATATAATTCTCACTGCAGCCTCACTCGGGAAGCATCACATCTTTTCGTTTTATAGATGAGGCTAAGAGAAAATCAGTGCTTTGCCCAAAGTCACAATGGCTGGTTGGAGCTGACACTCCAGCCCTGTGCTCTGTGAGCCATAAGCCCTGTCTCTTTCCATTAGGCCAGTGGTCCTTAAAGTGCAGTCCCCAGACCAGCAGCATGACTGTCACCTGGGATCTTGTTAGAAGTGCGGGTTCTCAGGCCCACCCATGGCCTACTGAGTCAAAAAGTCTGGGGGTGGGTCTGGAAGTCTGTGTTTTAACAAAGCCTCCAGCAGGGATTCTGATGCCCACTCAAATTTCTTGTATCCACTCCCACTTCTTGGTCTGTCTTTGGAGCAGCAACTTCCCCTCTGTCATTATTACAGATCATGAAAACACTCCCTTATTCACCATCCACACTCCAGCTCTAGCTTGTGTGGTCTGGCAGCTGCTAGGCCTAGGACCCTGGAGTCTCTCCAAGATTAATTCATAAAAAAATGACATCTTCTGTATCTATGGTACCTCCACTGGTAAATCATCTCACCTAAATAAGGAATTTCAGATTCCAGGCTCTTTCTCTGGATCCCCAGATTTTCTCCATCATATCCAATTTTACCTGACCCAAATGTATTTATTTAAGTGACAGCAGCTCTGAAATTTATAAGCACCCTTCAGATGCACACACAATGAGCTGGTCTGGAACCCTGCCTGGGTTTCACTGCACATAGCTAGTGAGGACTCAAGACAAATTTGAAACAAAAAGGTATTTTGGTTCTTGAAGTAAACACTTTCATCAGATTGAGTTGAATTATCATTAATAACTATTTTCTGTGATGTGACAAGAAAATGAGAAATGGGTAAAAAGTGCCAAAGCCTGCCTTCCTACCAAAACTATAGAGAGGTCTTTTGACTCGCTCATGGAGGTTGAAAGTTCTGTGTGACTTATTTGTCACCAACACTGGGCGTGTAGTCAACCATTCTTTTCAATGTATCAATGAGCTACAAATCATGTCTGTGTCGGTTCCTCTCTTTAACATGACCTCTCTTCTCTTCCTCCTCTGCTTTCCTTTGTTCAGAGAAGCAACAGAACACTCGCCCATTATGGACGGGTCTGAGTCTCCAACTCACCAAAGTACTGATGAGTAGAGGTATCGTAAGGGAATGTTTTGTTCTTACAGCCCTTTCCCCCTTCACTGCTTTGGAGTGTGTGATCTCAGATGTGTTGCATATGTGTTGCCCTTGCCCATATCATAATCCCCAGAAGGAAACATCTGCATGGTGTGGAAGCCATTGTTTTATGTTGATTTCTAGATACATGTGGAACTATATGTTTATATGTATATTTTTATATCAGATGTTAGGTGTTCTTATGTGACTTCCCAGAAAAGACCCCAGAGTGTGTTTTAGACCTTCCCAGGCTCTATGTACATGCAGATTCTTGTAGACACTTTTACTGGTTTAGTAACCTCTGTCCATGGAAAGAACAGTATCAAGCAATTTAAGTTTCAAAGCACAAAGGGCAGACTTAGTTAGCAGAAGCATGGAAAATCTCCTATGCTATCCTCCCAGCATTCTTAAGTGGCAGTGTGTAGTCTACCAAATGCTGTAGTGTTCTGCTTTCCCAAATGTGGTCCATAGAATAGCATCTCCATCATCTTGGAGCTGGTTAGAAAGCTAAACTCCTGGCCCTACAATTTGAATCTGCATTTTAAACAAGATCCTTGGGCGAATCAAGTGTACTGTTACAGTGGGCATCAAAACAGTAGCACCTGGTCTGGGTCCTGTCCTTGGGCCAGCAGAATCTAACTCGGAGATGAGACATTGAAATTAAGTAGCATTTCAAGGATTAACAAAGAAGATGAGGATACTATTCAGAAGTGGATAAATTTATTCAATAAAAAAAATTGAACCATCATTATATTCTAGGAACCGTGCTAGAGACCAGAGTTCTAACAGTTCAAGTTCAAATCAACAATTTGAAAACCTATCAGGATGTTCTATACAAGGGGAGTAAGAAATGTGCAGCATTTATGTATAAAGTGATCTGAGACTTTAGGTGGAGGCCTAGAGGCTTTTCCAAGGGCAAAAACACAGATGCAGAAAACAAGCAGGGTGTTTGGGAAACAGCAGAGAGTCTTGTTTGCTGTAGAGAAAGAGCTGGACTTTAGCCTGAAGAGTAGGGCAGGACAAGATCCTGAGCAAATTAGGAGAGAGACACAGAACAGTTTTTACTGTGAGTCCCCTGAGTTGGCAGATGAGGGATTAGGAAACAGGGGCTTAGCCTTTAAGAGGAAGATGGTGTGAAACAAAATTTGACTGAGTAAATTTAAAAGACTTATTTGCTTTACTTACTGGTTCATGAATCAGATAGCATTCAACCTAGCAGATAGAAAGATGTGTGGAATCTAATGAACAAACTGAACTAACAAGCAAAGTAGAAACAAACTCATAGATAGACAGCAGGCAGACAGCTCTGGTGAGGGGGACTAAGGGGATTGAGCAAAAAAAAAAGAAAGAAAGAAAGAACTCATGGACAGGGAGGAATAACAGTGTGGTAATCAGGGGTGGAGGTGGAAGAGGGTATGAGGGGATAAATGGTGATGGGGCAAAAAAGAAAGGAGCTCTGAGGAGCTGTACCAGATGAAAGACTTTTATAGGCAGAAGGCAGCAGGAACAAGGCAGCTGCATGAGGTGAAAAGGCAGGTCGGGTATTGTAGAATCATTTTCCTTTGGGGATGGTAGGGGTCTGTCAGGCAGGTTACCTCAGTAGTGCTGACCAGGCCATGCCTGATTGACAGGTTTAAGGTTGCACTTATGGGAAAGCCCAAACTGTAGTTAAGTCTAAGTTTGGTGGTAAGCAATTCCATTTGGGGCCACTGTCTTGTTTTTTATTAATTTCCCCCCTTTGATTGGACTCGCAGCCTAGCTGAGAGATGTGGTCAAAATTTGAGGCATTAGCTTCCAGTCTGGAGATCTCTCGATTTTTTGCTCAGTCTCTCTGTGGCATTCGCTGGTCACAACATCAGGTTCACATGATTTCAGGTGGTCCTTCTCTTTGTTTCTTTTCTGACATTCTGTTCTTAGGGGGATCATTTGCTTGATTGTTAGTGGCTGTGACTATGCATTAAAGCTTTTGAGAGAACACACACCAGGGGGAACTACTATGATTATTATAAACAGGATAATTCCCAATGCCGGGAGTGCACTTTGGACCCATGGTCCCCAAGACCCAAACCAATCAAAATCAAGTAGGTCAAGAAAGGCCCTGTTGAAGGAGTCACTTTAAGCCAACTGGCTTGTCTCAACTTCCCCAAAGTATCAATCCAGGTACAGCAAGTGGTGTTGGTCATAGCATAGTCTGTGGGTCAAGACTTTAAAAGGTGACAACCATGCAGACCAGCAAAATTTAAGGGTCTGTAGACTACAAAGGTGTTTTATTTATTCTGACACCCTTGCCTTGTGTCCCTTTCTTTGGCTACAAAGCTCCCGGGATCTGGAGTTGTTAACCAGAAAGAAAGAAATGGATCCCCAGGGTTAGGGACTCTGACACAATAGAGAAGGCTAAATTTTCCCCAGAGAAACTGATGCATTGAAAATCAGGGAGAAGTTTGGGATGAGCAGAACTATAGAATCACTAGCATCGCAGCAAATCCAGCAGTTGTTTGGAGGCTAAATTACCAACTTTTGCAGTGGTCTGAGATACATGGACAATAACTTTCCAGGCCTGAGCAAGATACAAGTAGACAAAAGAGTCATGAAGACCCTCATGTGTAAGAAGCAGGAAAAAATGGTCAGAGATGGAAGGAGGAATGGAAAGAAACATTCTTGATCTGACATCAGGGGAAGTGGTCTACTCTGATGTTGGCTACCTTTTTCCTAGTCAGTTTGATGGTGAGGTCTCCAGCTTTTGCACAGGACCAGAAGTCAGGTGGAGCCTTCTTCAGGTGTGAAGTATGCACCCACGATTCAGCACCTTCTGATTTGCCCACGGTGCCAGTGGTCAAGAGTTCCTGGTACGCCCATTGCTAAAGATCTGATGAGAGCTCATTGTAATGGAATTGACAGGGAAATTTGGTTATTTCTGTGATATACAACATCTTAAGATAATAAGTGGAATTATGACTCATAATACCAGGATATATAAGATTTCTAGGAATGTCATACAATTTCTAGGATGCACTGATTAGAATTCTAACCCTTAGAATCCTTAATTCCTAGTGAACACTAAGAAGGAAGCAATTGTGAACTGTTTGCTACACTAGCATTCTGTGTATTGGAAAACTTATAATTACACTTCATAATTTCTAGAAGAACATTCTCCCTCACAGTAAATGTTTCAGTGTGGCACGAACCATGTTGACTGATAGACCTGGCATTATAGACAGAGATGTAGGAAAGCCAACTCTAGGAAGGATTCTCATCCTTCACCAGCTACTGCCAGTTTTCCCAGGAACCACTCTGCAGGTTCCAGAGCAAGTGGGGTTTAAAGAAGAGAATGTAACCCTGGTATTCACCAGAAATTTGGCAAGGTTTTCCACTGATTTAATTTTAGTTTCTCCTCAGCTGTTTTAAGGGAATAACTGATAGCAGTTTATTGGAAAATCCCTAAGAGTCTCATCAACCTTGGGAGTGGCCTGTATAGGGGCATCTGTAAGGCCACTGACTTGGCAGACTTTTGTTCAGGTCTTGCAGTCTCTTTATAGTGGGAAAGGCAGTTCAGAGAGAGGACTGAGAGTACTCAGGTAAAGGAGGATGGAGGGGAGTAGTAGGAATCATGTCAGTCCTACAGTCTTTGTTGTAGGTGCCACTGTGTGTTTAATTTTTTATTGGCCTTTTGCAATGAATCATTAAGTGAAGTTATTTTGGAATCTTGGCACCTCTTGGAGGTTTTAGCATGCCAGTTAAAATAGGCACCCCATTCTGTTTTATTTGGGAGCCCTGGCTTTCAAGTACACATTTTAAATGAATGCTCTAGTCTAATTGTAACACTGCCTGTAATGGCTGTTATTCTATATAAGGAGGCAAACTGAGGCAAGCTCAAATGATCAGAAATTGAGTTTATTCAGGAATAGCAAAGGAATTGCAATTCTGGAAATGCATGATATATTCAGCTACAGGTGAGTCCATTGAGGGTTTGGGGCAGGCTGTATTTATGGGCAAGGTGGAGTCCAACCAGAGTCTAAACCAGGGGTCCTCAAACTACGGCCCGCGAGCCACATGCAAATACAAATATTGTTTTTGTTCCCATTTTGTTTTTTTACTTTAAAATAAGATATGTGCAGTGTGCATAGGAATTTGTTCATAGTTTTTTTAAAAATCTATAATCCAGCCCTCCAACGGTCTGAGGGACAGTGAACTGGCCCCCTGTTTAAAAAGTTTGAGGACCCCTGGCTCTAAACAGTAAGTTTATTGGCTCCAGGTTAGAGATTCTTGGTGGATATTCAGTTGTTGGGAGATAAGTCTCTGTCATCTGTTCATCAGGCATTTACAGGAAATTGGTCTCTCAGCTCTTAAGTTCTGTTTTTCTAAAGGCACATGTGTGACATTCTCCATTTCCTATCCTCCAGTTCCATTTTAGATAGAAATGCTCTCACATTTCCCCTCTTGATCAAGATATTTTGCAGAAAGTATCACTGATGAACCATATTACTTAGGTGTTGCTTTCTTTCTTCCTCTTGTATCTTTTTCTTGATCAAAGACATTGTTAGATGGAGAACATGTCCCTCGGTGCAGAAAAGGATCATCCTCAGATGTCTAGTACCATAGAAGAGGGAAATGGCAAGTGGATTTCAGTAGCCTCATTGGAACAACAAGAAATGTCAACAACCAAACTGTAAATTTGGGCCAGGGCAGCTGAGTCAGGGTAACAAGGAAGACCAGACATGGGCATGAATAGATTTGGTGGTTGGAGATTGGCTGGTGTCTTCTGCTGATTTGAGAAGGGCTATACATTCCTCTAAGATTAGATTAAGTTTCCTGTATGAGCCTGTGTTGACTATCTTCATTTTTTTCCATAACATAAGTGACTCCATTTTAGTTTGGGTCTACATTTCCACTTTTTGATCAAGTCCCTATTAAGGGGTATTGATCACTCATATATTGCTAGGTGTTTCTTCTACATGGACTTCATCCATTTTGTTTATTTTCC